CATTCATGAAAAGAGGGCGCCATTTTATTTATTTATTTACTTTTGGATTGAAATGATATCATGATACTTTTTGTATCTCAAGTATGAGAACTATGAGAACCGAGTGGTTGCCTGCATGTAAGAAAAGAAATCATGGTGACATGAGAAAAACTTATCTTGCCCGGAAAACCCTTTTTTAAAAATGTATAATGACATCGATGTGTAATTGTAATTTAAAAAGACAACGATCATTGACTAATAAACACATTTGGTGTTTCTTTTTTTTTTTCAATTGTTCGTGATGTTAATGCTAGGAAGATGCCTGTTGTAGATGATTAGGGTAAATCTTGAATTAAAAAGAGAAAGAAAAAAGAAATTGGATTATGTGTAAATCATATCATAAATTTTTCCGTGTTATAAAAGGCGAAAAGCGGGGAACATTAGGTGAAACGGGACAACAATGACCTAATGATAATTACATAAACCTAACAGATTTACTTATCAAAAATGAATCTTTACCTAAATTCAATTAATTTCAATTTTATCGTAAATGATGGATGTACACTAATTGGGGTAATTATTTGGATGGGGAAACCTTAACTTACTGAAGGTGGGCAAAAGAGCATTGAGGGCGAAAAAAAAATTATATCATGAAATCGCACGTTATCATAATTATTAATTTCATGTGTTGATACATGCATTCAGTCATCTTATTTGAGCCTCGAGTTGGGCGAAAATGTACGTGCACCCACCAAATCTTTCTTTCATATTGATGATTAAAATGAAAGAGGGACGTGCAAATAAATTTTTTTTTTTTTTAAAAAACCACAAATTTCTTTGTTTAAATCTCGGATAATCATTTAACTATATAAAGCAATTTGTCAAAGTTGAACTAAATGGTTGAATCATGTATATAAGTAAAAATGACGATGATGTGTATCATATGCGCGTGCGCCACGAAAAAAAAAAAAATTTTTTTTCTCAATGTGGTCTGAAATCGAAAGACCAGGTAGGGTCACTTTGCCTAAAACAGTCATTTTTTATTTTATTTTATTTGCTCATTAAAGGACCGATTAAGAAGAACATTTTGAACTTTTCTTTGTTGTGTGCCTAAACGAATCATCAAGCAATTTGGGTTGGGTTCTGAGCGTAAACGCTGCGATGCCTGTGCAATAATGCAAATGGCGAAATGGTGGTATCAACGTGCAAATTGTCTACCAATCACGTGAATCTCCTATATTTTTAGAAATTACGATAATTCCTGGTAGAAATCCCTCGATTTATTTATAACTCATAAAGTACGCATTAATCTTTTTCAACGTTGCTCTCGTCGGATTCGCCTGGAAGGTCGCAAAAAAAGACCACATGATTAATAAAAAATGTTGAATGAACATGCATGTATCTTTATTAAAAGAAGTCATGTTTACCTTTGCTCTAAAAGAAGTGATATATAAAAGTTTATTTTGAATAAGTTCTTTAGTGACTTCTGTAAAAAAAAAAAAAAAAAAAAAAAAGAGGTTACGGTAACGTTATGGATGGTTTAGATAGGTTTGGGATCAAATCTACCACTTACTTTGATGGTCGATTCCATCCCTAATAAAATTTCCTATGATTATTTGAACAAACTTTTTTAAATCGATAGATAATAATACAATCAATGAATAATTAATGAAAGTGTTACCTTTGCCATCAAAATATTTTACCAAAACGGCCAATGCAATTCCACAACTTCTATCAATACTGGATCAACGAGATATTTTTAGCTTTTTTTGGGTTTGGGGGAAAAGAAAATCTCTTAAACCATACTCATTTCTATGATGTAGAAGCTTACCCCTGTTTACAATGAATCAATATTTTCTTCTTTTCTTCCAATGGTCCTCTAATAAATTCTAAGGCAATAGAAATGCTTGAATAGAAAACGTTTTGTCCTTTCTTGCCTTCAGGTATTGGTAATTGTAAATAATTTGGTGACGCTTCATTAGAGATGTATGTTTCTGGTGTACAGTTTATGATGCAATCAAAATTCTTCCAGCATTCAGGTGGAAATGCTATAAATAATTTAGTCTATAAAATTTTTTCTTTACTTTTTTTTTTTTTTTTTGATTTGATTTAATAATACATTACCACTTTTATAATTTCCAATTGCGATATTTGTGTTTCCTATAAAGATAAATGGATCATTTGAGAGGTCCGAATGATTTGGTTTTAACAATTCGGAATTGGCGTTCTTTTCTCGTTGGATGACATCCAAAACGGTTCTTTCACATTCAACAGGATTACTTTCATTCAATATTTCCTTGTGATATTTCCAAAACAAGGCGGAAGTCAATCCCTAAATGTAACAAAAAATAATAAAATTGTATGAAAGTGCCACATCAAAAACCCCCCCCCAGTAAGACCCTAAAAACGCGCGTTAATTACCCTCGCCCACATTTCATGATCATCTGCTGACCCTTGCACGTAAAGGAACCCTTTCCTTCTTTCGACTCCGGATTTAACCATTTGTGACGCGCATACACAGATTAAGGGATGAAATGACATTTTGGTGTAATCTGGTAAGCCGTGTACAAATATATTTGACGATGGGGTAAACCAAAGTGGTCGAAGGGGTTTTCTTAACTTGTTCGAAAGTGATCTCATGTCAAAACCGGAATTCTAACGCATGGAAAGGTTTTAGTGAATCGTAAAAGAAAGAGAAAGGAATGTACAAAGTTTGTTTCTTACGAGAAGGTTTTGGGTAAATCGAGGTATTAACGAAACGATTTGATCATGTTCGGATCTTGAGATTAATGATGGAAGTGAATGAAATTCCGTGTCCCATACTGACTCCGATATATCCTCATCAGATGTAACAGAATCCCGAAATTTCTTGATCGCGTTATTGATGGTACAACACCAGATTGGTATCGTTTTTGATTGCGAATCAGGAATTCTTTTGCCACTGCGTGTCGAATCCACTATCATACATCTTTAGAAAGCGATCGCGCATTCAAATGATTAGCATATATCGATATCCTTTAGTGGTAGATCATGCGTGATGAAGAATGACTCACCCACCATGTTTTGCGATTATGTTAAAGAGATGAGCGTTTAACCTGCGTAGGTTGAACGCCCATTTTCCAGTATGACCATCGGTGGATTTGAAATAGACCGTTTGTGGACATAACTTTCAAATAAAAGTTCATTAAATTTGGTATAACGAGATGTTGGATCGAACGAAATGTTTAAAAGGAAGGTTACTTTTTCTGGATCCACATACCAGGTACCACACCTTTCATTTGCTAAGAATTAATTTACCCCCAAAAAAAATTAGCAAGCATGCTTTGGGAGGTAATTATTTATTTCATTTCATTTCATTTATTTATTTATTTTTTTTTTTTTTTTCAAAAAAAAATACCTATGACGGGTAAGTATGGTATCAAGTCCGATATATCGCTAACAAAATTTGCGTCTTCGGAGATTGATTTTAATCTATTGTATCTGGTAAATCGGAACATTTAATTCATTGATAAACATCATTAAATCGAAACAATTGAAATGGAATAAATCAATTACATGTTTTTCGAATCTTTTCGAACTTGTTCAATAATGTTGTCAGGGACATCAAGGATTGAATTATCGAAAGATATAGACATTTTTTTTTTTTTTAAAAAAAAAAAAAAAAAAAAAGATTTGGCCTTAACCATTAATCAATCCAACTTTGACTAAAAGCAAATTTCCAGTGACATCATCGACTCCCAAAGATCAGGTGATACAGAATACACCAGTAAATTATCCGAGAAGATAGAAATTAAAATAAATCATTTAATGTTCAGAATATGGATTACTTTATTTTTTTTTCAATTTCAATTTTGCTGTAACAGATAACATATTTACAGCTACAATATATTAATTACTTTTGACAAAAGTTTTTTTTTTATATCTTATGAATCATTTTTCAGAAATCGTTAAATAAAAAAGGTCACGTTTTTTCCTTAATATTAGTTACAACAGATGCATTAAAAAAAAAAGGACTAATTCTTTTATTCTTCTTCTTCTTCATCTCCTTCGTTGCTAATATTAAAGTATCGTATTTCATACGAGTTCTATCGGGTTAAAAGAAGGAAACATCGAATTAATACCTTGTCTTTCAAGAGAGAGAAAATAAAAATAAAATAAATCAAAAAGGTTAACTTACCGGATCTGTAGCAACCACACGTAACCAATCTCGAATACGATGCTTTTTCATGAATTTCTTGGTAAGATATTTCATGTATCGTTTAGAAAAAACATGACTATTGGTTGTAACTGTAATCTTGTGATCATCGCTGCGAGTTATAGTAACCACCTCTCCTAATTGGCCCACACGACCATTAATTTTTACTCTATCATGAAGGAATTTTTCCTAAAAATCATTAAATTACGTATAGATTTAGATTTTTTTTTTTATGAAAAAAAAAAATAAAAATAAAATAATTATAATAAAAAAAAAAAGACGCACAAAAGCCGAAGAGTCAAAAATTTTGTCTCGAGAAGGACCCGAAGCGTCAATTATATATTTTTGTTTCTGAACCACTTTTTTGTTGGCTTTCGCCGAACCACCTTTTGCCTATATATATAAAAGTTATATCAGATCAAAATTTTTTTTTTTGTTAACAAAATGAATTTGTTCCCTTTGAAATTGATTTAAATTTAATAATTAAAAGATTTTATCTGACGGATTATACTTACGCTTGTAGTAGTCATTGATTTGAAGCTATTAATCGCTCAAGATTTAATCCAAACCTCGTTAAGTCGAGATCTTTTTGGAAGAGGAGGAACCCAAAAAAATTTTTTAATTAATTCAGTTATATACGATTTCAATGATTCATTTTGATTGGTCTGCTTTGTTACCATGTTACACATTTTCCTAATACAAAATTAAGAGCGATAATCAAATCAACCACCCTTTATTCAAGTGTACAAAAAAAAAATTCAAAACTTTAAAAGAAATCCTTTTTTTTTTTTTTTTTTTTTTGATAGTAATTAACGATTTAGCAATAATGTCCGATTCTGAGTTTGCGATCCCTGAAGAAATTAATTCTACTACTTTTGACCGTTACCAGACTCTTCTTTACAGATCATTAATCAACATTAGCGCAAAACGTAATAATGAATTACCCTCTAAAGAAGTTCCATTTTATCGAATGATTGATCCAACAGCAGCGCAAAAAATGGACCAACTTTCAGGAAGAATTTTACCAAGGATAAATCAAATGATTTCCACCGTTGATTTACCTGGTTCTGAAGGTTTTTGTGAGATTACCGAGGCCGAAGATGTCGATTCATGGAGTAAAGATTTTGTTTCCTTAGTTGATTCCCTTATTGACGGAGTTGTAAGTTCTGTGTTCTTTCATTTGTTGACTTGTCTGGTTGAGGTTTAGGTTTGGTTACTTATTTACACCTTGCATTGTCTCGTCTAGAATGTTTCATTGGATGAATTCAGTGGTCGAACCAAAAAAATCTCGGCTACGATAAATAAATCCAAGCCGGTCGTTGCGGAGATTTCAAATGTATGTGTCATTTATATAATTGCGTTTTGGTTCGAGCTTTGTTTTCTTTTTCTTTTTATTCAGTCCGAACGATTTTGATAAATCTTGTTTAAAATATTCACCCAATAAATGGTCAATTGATCTATCAAAGAACAAATCGGACCTTCGATGTCTATATGCCAGCACCATTAGTCGCCCTCAATTGAATTTTAAGGAAAAGGTCGACAATACTTCTGCACCCTTTATTCCAAAACTTGTTGAGAAACCAAATGCCATGATCCCATTAGATGTGAATGTATTGTCGTAAGTACATTGATTCATAACGTCCGTCTTACGATAAAAAAGTTTTTGATTAAGCATCTAGTTTATTGTGTTAATTCTGCGCGTCTTATTCTAGGTATCAACATCCTTACGAGTGTGAGATCAAAAATATTGTTTATCCAGCTTTTATGTTTGAGGATAGGGAACCAATACTATCTAAGCGCATCGTGAGTTCACCTTTCATCTGGGTGGATACGCTGGAAGAATTAACGGCAATGTGCGAAAAGTTGGAGGATGCTAATGAGATTGCAGTGGATTTAGAGGTACGTAAGAATTTTTCGATCAGTCTTTTTTATAACTGATCATTAACCCGAGTCCGTCGTTTTCATACTATTTGTAGCACCATCACTATCGTTCATATCAAGGGTTTACTTGTTTGATACAAATAAGTACAAGAAGAGAAGACTTTGTTGTTGATGCTTTAGCTTTGAGAGATTCTTTACAAATGTTGAATCATACCTTTACCAATCCGAACATATTGAAGGTATTTTTTTTTTTAGTAATCTATTAATGAATCCCTTGAGGAAACTTATGTTAATGATGATGTGTGTCTTGCAGGTATTCCATGGTGCGGATTCCGATATTGTTTGGCTACAAAAAGATTTTAGTGTTTATGTTGTCAACTTGTTTGATACATTTCGAGCTGCCTCTGTATTGGGTAATATTTATTATTCGGGATTCATATGAGCACGAGGTTCAAATATATATATTATTTTTCCTAGAATCTAAGCACCTTTTTTTTTCCGAATAGACTTCCCACAAAAATCATTGGCATATTTGTTGAAACATTACTGTGATTATGAAACTGATAAGAAATATCAATTAGAGGATTGGAGAATTAGGTATGTTAATGGCTCTACGTAGGATAATCTTCCAAGAGGATCATTTCGGAATATACTAAAATCTACCGAAAAATTCATTTAGACCTATCCCAGAGGAGATGTTAAATTATGCTCGTGCGGATACACATTATTTATTGTATATTTATGACAGAATGCGAAACGAGTTAATTACAAGGTCCGATTCAACGACTTTGAATCTTTTAAGGGTTGTACTTGAACGATCCGCTGAGACCTCGTTAAAGATGTATAGTAAATTGGAATATAGTGAGAATGGAGAAGGAATTGGTGGTTACAAGAGGCTTCAGGCAAGAAAGAACAAATCATTCGATTACCAACAAGTAAGTTTATAATTAAATAATGGTCTCCTTTTTTTTATAGGATCAAGTTATGTTGACGCGTAATTTTTATTTTTCCAGCTGGCAGTATTTAAGGTCCTTCATGCTTGGCGTGATCGAATTGCAAGAGAGGAAGATGAGAGCACCGGGTGAGTAATACTGTGATTAAAACAATTTTTCCTCTGTCGAGAGTCGGGCATATGAAATTCACCAAAAAATTTTCTCTTTTTAGTTATGTGTTACCAAATGAGATGCTAATGACCTTGTCTGAAAAGATGCCAGATGACCCTAAAGAAATTTCCTCTTGTTTTAAAACGGGCGTTCCTTCATTCGTTAGAATGAATATTCTTGAACTGGCGAGGTTAATTAAAGATGCGAGAAATAGTGCAATCATGCCTACAAACATACCTACAAACATACCTTCATCGTTTTCTACATCCACAGAAAATAATGTGATAACCGAAAAGGTGGAACTGGTCGTGGACGAGGACGAGGACGTGGACATGGAATTGGACATGGGCGAAGACGTGGTCGTGATCGAACCTACAGGTAAATATTTTATTTGGTGGTACTTAAATTTTTTTTTTTGCACGCGTGCTGATTAATGTATTTTCGTTTAGTTAAACCTGTACCGATGGAAATGGAAAGGGATTATTCTCTATTAGAAACTCCATTTGTTAAAGATGTTTCTAAATACAAATCAAATTCTTCGATGTTATTTAGAGATTATCTCGATGAGGTTTAATTTTATTACTGCTTTGCTAATATAATATTAGGTTTGCTTTCTAATATTTAACGGACCTTCATGTTTTATCAGCCCGTAGCTCAAGATGACAATCTGAAGAAGAAGGCTCTCGACATAACTTCATCCCTTTCGTTTTCATTACCGGTTCCCAAGTTTATCAATTATTTGAATAATCCAAACTCGAATTCATCACAATCGAATGGTTCCCAACCTCCTAATGAAGTCTTATTTACTCCCGCGACACAAAGAACTACGAAGACTCAGGAAACGGATCTTGCTCGCAGTAGTTCCAAAGGAAAGGAACGCGAAATAGTAAACGTTTCCAACGATTCTAAGAAACGTCGGTTGCCTGAGATGGTCGAGGAGGACGTGGAGGGGGTAGAACCCACAAACGTGGAACCCATAATCGTTGACGTCGATCCTCGTCGGGATGACATTAGTGAGCGAAATAAAATGAACCCCGATAATGGAATGGCGAGACATGGTATTGTTTTTATAATCAGAATTGAGATAAAGTTTGAATGATTAAAATAAAAAATTTGATTGTATAGAAGTGAGTCCTTCGAGTTCTTCGATAAATGCAGACGTTGCTCAAAATAAACAAGCCAGCACAAAAAAAAGGAAGAGAAATAATAAACGAGTCAAGATGATGAAAGGTAAGGTAATGCAATTAGTACCATTTCATCTTCATTTCAAATGTTTTTGTTTTATTTATTAACAATGTACTTTTGTAATGGTTATCTAGATTTTGGTTTAACTCAAGTAACTGGTATATTTACTATAACTTTGGGAGAGTTTATATATAATATAAAGCAACACAATTCATCTCCAAAGTTTTGATGATTGTTTTTTAAAAAACTTTTCAATAATTTAGGAACGAATGGAGTGGAATTAGGTAATAGAAGGAAATTGGTTACGATGGTGGATCACACAGAATTACCACAAACCGTGACATCTGGACTTTCGACTAGTTCTTCAACATCGATTTCTGTCGATACATCGACTAGAAATACAATGAGAACAGTGGAAACAATTAGACAAAGCACAAATTCCGTTCAAACTCGTTTGTATAATTCTATTACATAACTAATCACGCACAACGCATTTTGTTTTTTAATACTCGTGATTATTTCAAAATAGCATTTGATCCTTACTCCCAAACAGTTATTGATGAACGGGTAAGTTTATTGATAGTGCCTTTACGTAACATATTTTACGGATTAAATTCATATTCTTTTACAGTTAAGAAGATCAGATCCTCGACTTCCCACAGCTCCATCTTCAGGAAACAGAAGTATGACGATGGACAAGTAAGGATTCAAGATTGACGAATTCAATAAATTAACAGTTTTGCAACTAACTCGATTCTTTATAGTTCATCAAACTTTCAAAGAGATGATAACGATCCGAACGATCAGGATAAGAAGTGCACGATTATGTAGGTATGTGTACGATATTCACATACTCAATCAAAAAAGAAACACTATGTTTTTTTCTTCTTTTTTTATCCTTTCATTACTTGGCGTTTAACTTGTCCTGTTGGAGGTTTCTTTAAAAGAATATACAACATAATACTTGTGGCTGCGGATAACGTATACCTGAATGGAAACAAATATCGTTATGATTATAAGATAAGAAATGATAAGAAAAGAAAAGGAAAAGGAAAAAAAAAAAAAGAAGAGAAAAAAAAAGAAAAAAAAAAAAGACAAAAAAGAGAGAAAAGGAAAGAAAAGACAAAAATAATAATAGCAAATTGAATGCGTCTGTCTTTGCTGGATAATATATTTTAGAAAAACATTTTTACCATGTGATTGCATATTGTAAATGCGTGTTTCGTAATTCCACATTTGGAATTTTTCCGACTGGGATACCATTTTGGATCAAATGATTCGTCAGAAATGGGGATCCTTCTATATATAACAAATTATAATAATCAGAGTATGGTTTTTTTTCATTTATTTAATATTAAAATTGATCGAAACATACCCAAACTTTGTTCTATCATTACTGGTTGAGCTCCTGTTCTCTGAGCCATAGTATCAATATCTAGCCAACACCATTGGTTTTTTTCTGGGCTATTTTCTGGAACGAACCACGATTTCTAAATATGTAGTTATATTATTTACTTAATAAAGAAATTTATAAATTTATCTTAATTTTAAAACAAAAAAAAAAAAGTTACCTTTTCTGAACCTTTTAACAAACCTTCAATGATTACATTGTCCTTGATCTAAAAATTTGATTTGAAATAACGATTTAATGAAACTTAAATAATCAGTTTAAGGGATAACTTCAAGTATATACTTGTCCAGCCGGTCTCGTTGATGGATCAAGTTTTTCTTTTGAAATCCACCCCCTTTTAACCAAAACTGTGGTTCTATAGTAACAGAAATTTTCAGTCATGTGCAAAAGTTTTTCTTTAATTAAATGACAAAAACGAGTTAAAATATTCACCCATTTTCACGTTCAATTGGAGTGATAACATAATACCCAAGTTGATTATTGAATGTTCTTGGGCCCAAGTAAAGTTCTTGGTCATGACGGAAATGTCCCGAAGTCTTAACGCGTCTATATAAATAATCCTTCAAAACATCCAAACTAGAAGGGAAGAAACGAAACAAAATACGTGAAGGTGATGGAATGTATCAAGAAATGATTAAGAAAAAGGGGTTTAGATTTTTTTTTTTACTCACTTTACTCTTTTTGGTAAATTAATAGGTGGTTTAGACAACTGATCCTCACATTCTTCAATTAATTTAACTTTCCAACGTAATCTTTGTATTTGCCAAGTACCCAAACCAAAAGATAATACGGGGAAAATGGCTAGAAAGATAGGATACGTGAGTTTTTGTGCCGAAGTTATATTAGTTGAAAAAGGTTTAACCCCTTGACACGGATTTGAACGGATAGAAAAAGGAAATGTTTGACGATAAGTGGGACGAGAAGAAACCCAAAACATCTCTTTAATAAAATGGAATTATTAAAAAAAAAAAAAAAAAAATATTTTTAATTTAAAAAAAAAGATAAATCATCATCTCCCCATTTGTGGATTTTTGAACCGAATTTTGATTGGAACAATTTCGGAAAATATTTTGATTTGCCTGAAATTGTTTGGTACAATTTCATCTTTTTCCCCTCCCTTCCCTACCAATAATAGTTAACATGTTCCTTGTCATCTATTCTTTAAAAGAATCATCCGTGGTAATTCAAGAGGTTGAATGGGAGTAATGGGTTGACAATTAGTTGAAAATAATATGATTAGAAGGAAAAGAATGTCCACGTTTCTCTCATCCCAATCCTTCCATTCATTTTGATTTCCTTTAAATGGGCATTCTGAGATGAACGACCTCGTGATCTTTTTTTTTTGATATTTTTGTTATTACTTTTGTCACGCGAATCCGTTTCAATTTTCGGGAAGCATATGTCTGGCGCAGCCTTATACGACGCAGAAAAAAAAAAAATAACAAAAGCGCTAAAAAAAAAAAACTCCTCCCATTCCCCTTTTTATTTCCATGAATGAATTAGATAATAAAGATACGGAAAAAAAAAGTATCATTTTTATATGAAAAAAAAAAAAAAAAAATAAATTAATTTGTACTTTTCCGTGCAAAACGTTTTAAATAAATATGAGAAGAAATGAGAAATGTTGATTTGATTTGTCAAAATGATCAACCAATCACGTTCTTAAAAGATGATAACATTTTTACATAAATTATCAAAATTATACTACTATTCTTTACTGGTTAATCGAATGGCTAAATTTATTTATATGAAACAATAAAAAAAAAAATTTATCCCCCCATTCAAGAGGAATTAACATTTCCAAATATTTTAGTTTTGTAAAACATAAAAAAAGCACGTTTAAAAAAAAATCTCACACAAAGTGCCTTAAATTATTAATCCAAATTTGTCAGCTTGATTTTTTTTTTTTCTTTTTTTTTTTTTTCCTAAATACAGTATCTTCTTTTTTTCTTTATCTCCCATAAAAAAAAAAAAAAAATATAAAATTAAATATTTTTTTTTTTTTTTTCTTTTTTTCTTTTTTACTCGCTCTCAAGGGCCTGGAGCGGTAAAAACGAAAAAAAAAAACGGATCATTTTAAAAAGCCTCTTTATGCTCTTTAACGGAAAAAAGTGTTTGAGAATTAGTTTTAAACAACACTGCCATTAAGCAAAAAAAAAAAAAAAAAAAATTTAAAAAACTCAAAAACTCCTTCGAAGGAATATATATATAAAAAAAAAAAATTAAAATAAAAAATAATTAAGTCCGGATATGTCATCAAATTACAACTACGATTTTAACCTTTCACATCTGGTGAACCTTGAGAACGTACCTGAAATGTCCACAGAGGACATCATGTCCGCAGAGGACAGAAATTCACAACTTGACTTTTGGATAAATGCCGAATTCCAGTACTACTCCCCAACCATCGATACAAAACTTGAAGATCAAGATAGTTCAGTCAATCAACCGATGATAATGCAAGATCTCTCACTTAATGATCAAACGCAACAATCTTTATACCCGCTTTTCGCTTTTTCGAATACGAACCCACTCTTGCAGTCCAATAATTTCGCCTCTTTATTCCCGACTGCTCCTATAGTTCCAGTTTCTATTCCAACCGTTGTAAATAATCCAATCATTTTACCAAAGGATGCTTCATCAGAAAATACCTCGAGCGCAACTATATCAGAGATCATACCTGAAACAGCTAAAGTCATTACTAAAACTGCTGCCGTTGCTGATGTTTCAACTGATGCTACCCCCACCATCACCACAAAATCAAATCCTTCTACAAATGTTACCGCTTTGTCGGATTTGAATCCAAATCGTAAAAATTCATCGATGAAACCATCGGATTTAGAAATCGCTCAAGATGAACCCGCTAAAACAGAAGATAATGAAGGAAAGGTTGATCCTGAACTTTCCGCAAAGTTGGCTGCCGAGGAAGACAAAAGGAGGAGGAATACTGCAGCATCTGCTAGATTCCGTGTAAAGAAAAAGATGCGGGAACAAGCTCTTGAAAGAACCGCAAGGGAAATGACGGCTAAAGCCGAAACGCTTGAAAGTCGTGTAAGAGAACTTGAGATGGAAATCAAATGGTTGAGAAGTTTAATTGTAGAAAAAGATGCCAGGCTTTTAGATGTTGATCGACCAGGGAAAAAGCGAAAGAAGGATGAAAGCGATGATGAGGAGGAGGAGGTTAAAAAGGATGAAGTATCAGAGGCGAAACGAGAGAAACGGGAGCAGAGTGATCAAACCAACCAAAAGGAGTAACCATTTTCAAAAAAAGTGTTTTATGGGCTTTATTCGCATTTGCGTGAACAATCAAAGTCTAACTTTATTCGTTATCATTAATTAATGCATTATTGGGGGGGTTTTTTTTTCTCTTATTTTCGGAATATTGCTCTTACTTAATCCTATTGTATATCTTTTTTTTTTTTTTTTTTAATTATATAATACAAAGCCTTTTTTTGTCTGCGTTCTAACATAAAAGATAGGATAATTTGTTATACTAATGATCAATAACGATGATTGTTAATTTTTAATCGTCCTAAATTCTTACGTGTAAAAGCGTAAATTTTTATAGATATGAATAATAAGGAAAGGAAAAAATATATTTTTTTTGTTATTATTATGTAAAGAAAATAAGACCCAAAATCAATAAAATCTTTGTTGATCTTTTAATGATTCAATCACATTAATGTGTTTTGTCTCTTTAGTAAATAAAATAAAATAATTAATTATAACTTAACGTTGAAAAAAAAAAAATAAAAAAATAAATAAATAAAATAACTTAATTCCCTACTTGATCTCACATTCTCCATCTTTTAATTGCCCGGAAAATGTGTTGTTCATTCAACTTCTGACTACGCTTTAAATTTTCATAGAAAACAATATCCCAAGAACCACAATTCCCATCATTCACCTCGTCAAATTCAATCAATTCACGTGCCATATCTAACATACTTTGCATTCTGTCTTTATTATTTAATTTTTGTTGACATTCCACAAAAGAGTTACTACAATAAGCTAAAGAAATATGGTCAATTCGTTTAGGACGAATATTGGAATCTAAATGGGAAATAAGTTGTACAAGTTGGTGTAATGGCTGACATACTTGTAACGAAATCAACAAACTTGCTGGTGAACAAATAATATCCTTCAATTGTATTGAGCCATTACTGATTTCATGTTTGTGAGATTCTAAAAAATGGTCAATTAATTCGATGATTTGATTTAATTTTCGTTGTATATCATCTTTCAAAATGAAAAATCCCGTCATTGAACAATGAGGAGGATATTGATGCGCCTCATTTGGTCCATATAACTTTAATGTTTGATCAAAATAATTTTGAATACTTTTATAGAATTTGCTTGTTTTTGAGGGTTCAAGATATAAAATATATGTCATGGTTGTAAGTAATGCTATGCAAAAAGTGAATCATCATTGATTTTTGATTCGCATCAGATGATTTGACCATGGCATGCGCGTAATTTAATGATGCAAATCTTTTTTATATTGAAAGCGTTTTTTTTTTAAATAAAAAGGAACTGGTTTGGCAACAAACGTATTTCATATCAAAAAAATTATTTTCCAATTACAAATTACATACATAAAATGCCAACACCTGGAAAGTCAAATATAAATTATTTTATTTTCTTAATGTTCGTTAATCCACTTTAATCCTTCATGGTTATCAATCTGTGTGGTTTTTCTATTTAGAACTTCCATTACTTTTTCTCGAACACCTATTTTAGACTTTCGATCTTTGAGAAAGAAATCGACAATCTCTTGTTGAGTCATGCTTACCGATCCTGCATCCGGTGTTTCACCAGTAACAACTTTTCGAATTTCTTCTTCAGTTGGTAGTGCAAACCTAGAATACGGATAATTCTCAAAAGACCGTATATTTAATAAATTCAAATGATGTTTTTCCGAAGATTCAAAATAAAAATTTTCTATTGCATCGTCAGATATATCTTCTAACTTTGAAGGATTCCAGACAGGTTTTCTTTTCTCAACAAGTCTTGCTGTTACTCCTTCGATGAAATCCGACCTTTCCTGTTTTTATCATTGTTGTTAGTTATTCTTATCCATAAATGTTGAAAACTTTTGAATAATATGTAAACCTCACCAGAATTTTTTGAGCTAATTTATACTCCATTTTAAAACAAT